AAACAAGATTCATTTTTTAAAATAGTCTTGCAGTGATGGTCTTGTTTTGGTCTTGGTCTCAAAGCTTCGGCATTGGTTTGATATTGTTCTTGCAAGCCTAATCTTGGTCTTGGTCTTGCTAGACCAGTACCATCTTGGTCTTGGTCTTGCAGCAAGAGTCTTGCGAGACCGCAAGACCAAGACCAATTTTGATCATAACTAGTGACAACACAATCGCACCGGTATGACAGCGATGGTCCATCAATAGTGAAAATTATTATAATACACCCGTTGATTATTTAAATTAGTTTTGGTAAGGAAGTAATAATATTATGTATGTACTTAACTCACTGATTATTTCCTTTGTAATGGAATTATAATTGAAAAAGGTGGACATGTGGGTACCGCTCTGTTATTCAGTAGTAAGTTGACGAGCGTGATGTCGTAATGGATGTGTTATATTTGAATTCAATGATGAATCATTGTATATACGTAAAACGATTCTGAGCGAAGACGTTGTGTCATACTTGCATAAATAATCAAATTTCTTTAATATCTAATATATCTCATGGTTATAAATAGCGTGATTTTCCACTAAACTTTTTCTTTTTGATAGATGTAAAAAATACCTAACCTTCTACTAAAGTTTCTTGTGTAAGCTATGAAAAGAAAAGTTTTTATGAGTTTCTAATTGAAAAATAATTTACATAATTTGAAAAAATTATTATGGATATAAATAGCTCAAAAATAGTCAAAATAGTTTGAACATTTTACCATGTATGAAATATACTAATATAAACATTTTGTGAATATTTCACGAGTCCACTTTTATTCGTTTTGGTAATACAACTGAATATAAATAATCTATCAACAATTTACTGCTGAATATCAAATTTTGTAAAAATTATAAGTTATATGTTTAAGTTCAAATAAAGCTCATATAAATTAATGTTTTGTTTAAGTACACTTTTTTTTTGTTATAGGTAGAACAACTTGTGTGAAATCATCTATTAAAACTTTAAATCTTATAGTTACCTATGTAAATAAACACTTTTATGAATTTCTGACTGAAAAATAATTTACAAAATTTTAAAATGTCTTATGGCTATAAATAGCTCAAAAAGAGTCAAGATTTTTTGAAAATATTACAATATATGGAAAATTGTCATTTTAACATTAGGGGAAAATTTAAAGTATCTAGAATTATTCGTTTTTGAATTACAACATAATATCAAAAAGGGATACATGATAATTCGTTAATTTACCGATGAAATTCCGATATTGTAAAACTTTTAAATTCAAACGTTCATACAAAATTAATGTTACATTCCGGTAAACTTTTTTTTAGATTCAGAGTGAAACGATGAATGTATTGATTTTATAATGATGTGTGTTATTTTTATTTTTTTTTTTTTGTGTCTGTGTACACGATAAGTAGTCGAAATAATGCTTCGATTTTCGACTTCAGTATCTTGTTCTATTGGAAAATGAATATCGTTGGTGCATTGGGGACGTCTTTTCTATAAGAAAATTTTCTGATCTCAAAAACCGAAGCATTATTACTATTCAAAATGTTGCTGACAGACAAAAAACAACACACATCATTGTAAAATCAATACATTCTTTCGCTCCTCTCAGAATCTAAAATTATATAATATTTCAATTATTTAAACGTTACTATAATCATAAACATATTTCACAAGTTTACTTTTTTTCTGTATAAGTATTTATTGAACCATATCCATACTTTTGATTGAGTTTAAATAATATTTTAGTTACTTACCTATTTTGTTTTTATTGTAAAATGTCTGTTTAAAAAATTGCATGTTTAATTATTTTTTTCTGGTTTTGGTATTCTACAAACCGTAGGTAATATTATATTCTCGTGTTAACCAAGTATCATATATAGTGCTATTAAATATTGATTGATCATTATAATTATACATTTTTATTTTATATAACATTCATGTAATTAGTACATTATATTAAATGTTTTTTAATAGATCGCCTTTTGTTGAGTTACGTGAAACTGAAGATCGTTTACTTAATAAGAAATCTCACTCTAAAGTTTCTAGATCCAAGTCTAACGACCCTTGTTTGCAATTGGCCATATCAACAAAATCTAAATCCGAATGCGTTTTATGCACAAAATGTCATTCAGTCCAACGAACAAAGAGCTGGAATGAAACTGAACCAATAAATGATGTGAGTTTTGAAAACGTTATCAATTATTACAAGGTATTCAAAACTAGCGATAAATACGTATGCGCAAAGTTTACTAGCGATCAATTTATTAAGAAGTTGGATGAGAAATTACGTGAAGAAACTGATAGATTGTCAGAGTTTACTCAAAGTATATCTATAACATCAAATTTAAATGAAGACGAAATTGAACATGAATTAAAAGTTAAAACTGAAGAGTTAGAAAAACTCACTGAAGAGGATGCTTATACATCTTTGGACAAAAATGTATTACGTTTGGGAAGTGCAGAATTTGGATCTTTCGATGGTCCTCCAACTCGTATTTATCGGTTTCCAAGTACTGGGATTGGCTTAGATAGAAGTGAAGGAAGTGTATTCACCATGACAATATCTGTACAACAATCAGCCGCTTCCTTATTGGCTAAGCATTGGGGTCCTCAACGTGAAGTAACAGTTCGGAGGGATCCAAACAAGAGTTTAGGAATCAGTATTGTTGGAGGAAAGGTTAGAAATATACTCCAACATTAAAAAATGTTTTTAATGATGGTTGGTTTTTTAGGTTGATTTTTTCAACAGCACTAATACAAATAATAGCGCAGCTATATCAGGTATATTCGTAAAACATGTACTTCCTCAAAGCCCTGCTGGTCAAGATGGTCAATTAAAAGTAAATATTCTGTGTTAACATTTTAGTGTATTATGGTTAAGTTGATATTTATACTTGTAACATCAACAGACTGGTGATAGAATATTAGAAGTTAACGGGACT